TATTGTTTAACAGTCTTCGTCATCGTCGTCGGCAGTTCTTCGATAAATGAAGATGACTTAGTGAAGAGGGAAAAAAAACATTAACACTTAGACTGTCGACTGTGCTTCCAGCACTTGTGTGATCGGGCCAAAAACTGCTGGCACATTTCTTTTCATAAATGTTTCATTGTACCGTGCGAGGAACTATAGGCAGGGCGTGTCTCCGATCCTATGAGACCTTCATCCACTTTTGGTGTGCAACCTCCGAACCTTCCTTGATGTATTTACGCCATTTGGAGCAATCGTTGGCTAGGGACTCCCAGTTGGTAATAAGTAAATCACGTGTGATCAGGTGAGGGTTTATTACATCTTTGTAACAAAGCTTTGGTCCACCTATCCACCGCTTGTCAGAGGAAAGTTATCCATAAAGTAGTCTTCGGAAATCTATATTTTGATATACGCACCACACGACCAGCCCAGCACAACATAGCTTCTACGCTGGGAATATAGGCACGCTTCAAGACCTCCTTGTTAGTGATTGGTCTTCCCAAGATGTATTCAGGATCACTCTGATGTGTCTGAGTTGTATGCTGGAGAATCTTTTTATATGACAACGATGGAGTGTGTGAGTCTCCATTGAATATAGTAGGAAGCTCAGTACCATGGCTTGATATAATTAGCACTTGGTTTTTGTTCGTATGCCTCGCTGTTTCCAGACTCTCTCGTATAATCGCCCGAAAGAGATGGATGCTGCTTGAATCTTGTGGTTAAGCTCTACATCGAGGTTGTTGCCATTAGCAACTGAACTACCGAGGTAAGTAAACGGTTAACGACGTTTAGCTTGTCGCGAGAAGCAGAACAGTTGACTCTACATACTGAGAGTTACGTGATGGCTGATGGAGGACTTTGGTCTTTTTGATGTTAGTATTAGCTCGAAAGCAGCGAATGCTTTGGAAAAGTAATATAGAATAGTCTGAAAACTATCTATCGAATTACTTACAAACGCCACATCATCAGCAAACAGTAACTCTCTGACGCAGAATTCCATAGCCTTAGTGCAAGCCGATTCTTGGGTAGGTATACATTCTCTCGGCAATATCAGCAGATGCGCGATCCAGAATAGCATTTAGTAACAGAGTGAATAACGTGGGAGCCAATACGGAACCTTGTTTGACACCATGTGCTATTCGGAAGGCTTCAGATGTGGCACCCCCATGAGATACCTGTCCGTTCATGCCATCGTAAAATTGGCGAAATATTGCAACAAACTTCTGTGAGCAGGCAACTTTATCAAGCAGTTCCAACAGTGCTTCTCTCCTTACACTGCTAAAAGCTTTGGTGAAATCGACAAATACGGCATACAGCTGCATGTTTTGTTCGATATTCTTTTGTTTTTAATTTGCCGCAAAGAGAAGATCATATTGAGCATGCTTCTGTTCGCTGAAAAACCGCATTGGCTTTCTGGTAGTGTACGTTTGGAGATTGTTTATAGCTAAGTAGTATTTTGGCCAGAATTTTTCCTGTAAGTGATAGGAGCGAAACACTTCAGTAATTTCCACGATTATGTCTTTTGTAGATTCTTACAATTCGAGCATCTTTGAACTCCAGTCTGCCAACATCATCCATAATGGTACAATAATTCTAGTTTTAATACTAGCCTTACAATTTTGAAATTTCGTCACGTAGACCATCCAAGCCCGGTGCTTTTCCAGATTTAATCATTTTCATTACCTTCACAAATTCTTCCAGAGTTGGTGGGTTGTCAATCATTGCAACGATTGGTAGTTCTGGCACGAGACCCAGGACTGCGTCATGAATTACTGAGATTACTATTACTATTCAGCAAAGTATCAAAGTGTTCTTTCCATCTCTGCAAGATATCAACCTTGTGATAAACATTTGGAAACCATCAAGACTATTGAGTGGAACAGTTCCTCCAAACTTTGATCCATATACCACCTTCTGCAGTAACTGTTTTTGAAACGGTTTTGAAATGGTTCTATAGCATTGGGGTCGATTCAGCTGCTTGGGATTCATTTGTTTCAATACCTTCAGATATTTTAGTCGTGAGTTTCTCTCTGCAAGCAGGATCCTGTAATTTCCCTATATTTAGTTTCTTAGATGCAGTTGGCTGTTTATTTACTCCAAACGGAATCAGTCTTTAGTGTCCTGTCTGTGTCATGGTCCACACTACGCATGGATCATGTAGACATGACATCAGCAAGTTCCTGCCTTTGTGTTAGAATGTAGTAAATCAGAGTCCATCACTGGGAACGTGGGTGACACCAATTGTAACACCATTTTTAGGGAGTTTAAAAATTGTGCTTGTTATTGTCAAATTAGCTCAGAACAGAAGATAAGAAGTAATTCCCCATTTGAGTTTATCTTTCCTCTCCTGAAGTGGCCTAACACACAGTTCCAAGTTTGATGATCCAAACCAACACAAGCATTTAAGTCTCCAAGGGCTAAAAGTTTGTCACTACCAGCAACCGAATCCAAGAAATCCCTTCGGGCTAGATAAATCTCTTATTTCATGTGAGTTTCGTTTGTCATAGTTGGTGTGTAGGCCAACACAATAGTGGTGAAGCAGTTCTTGGATAATGGGAGTCAAAAAGTCACAACCTTTCAGAAATACAACCAGGGAGCGATTCCACCTGTTTGAATATATGGTTGGATACTGCAAATCCTACTCCTTTTGCCACTCATGCCACACCAACGGATACTTTGAACCATGTTTCTTAAAGCGTGGTGTTGTCAATCTGTATCTATACAGTTCCCTATGAACTATAACAGTACGTCGTTCAGGTCTTCAGTTATTTTCTCAATCTAAGAGCATTCTGATATTCCGAGTTGCAAGTTGGGTTTGAGTGGACTATGTTTACCTCTCCTTTTATTAAGGCGTCCCTTTCCAGGGTAGGCAGAGTCATTCCTTAATAGGGCTGCCTATTTGCTTGAACAGAACCTTTTATTATTACCACTCTGTCGTCAGTCCTCGGCCATAATACTCAAAGTGCCTACATGCAGATGACCAACTAATGACTTCCAGCTCCTCAAGTCTTTACCACCATTGGCCACCCATCACTACAGGACTTCCTCTTCATTATCAGCCTTCACTGGTGCTTAAAGCTTAGGAACACTTGCGAGTTGTAGATGCACCTTCAGATTGAGTTTCCAAGATCAAACAGAATGCTAGAGCAGAACAATCCAGGTTTTACTTCAGAGTGACTTCTCCTAGACCATGGCTGAATATAGCTAATAACACTGATCCTGCTACTTGCAATGCTCAAAACTAACTAGAGCATGCCTTATCTGCTGTTTACTAAGTTAAACCAAGCTTCCACCAGACAAGGTAATCCACCATTCTGATTCGTCAATGGTTTCACAATGTTCATGGTTTGGGTGGCTCTGGGGTTAGTGGAACTTACCCAGGGTGCTACCCCAAAGCTATAGAAAGGCAAGGGGAGCCTCACAATCCCTCCATAGGCTAGTAGCAGAAAAAAACAGACTTACCATAATTATAAATGCACCAAATAGACCAAAAGCACAGGTACCACGTACTAGTGCTAGTGTGTAGTAGTAAATTAAATTAATTAAATAATTTACCAACCCTTGGTACATGCACACAACCACAACTCACATTACATCATCTAAATGACATTACACACTATAGAGTGTGCCATCACAAGAACAGCGCTCATGCACACTCACAATGTGCACATACACCATAAGTGAAGAGAATGTATTCCACACATACACACTTTTATTTGCACGTACTATAATATTATGGTGCACACTCATACTAATAGTATATATACAGCATATCAACACAAATGAATGAATGATGCATAAGATCATGTTCCCTTGTATGAAAAAAATGCATGAACAAATGGAAGAAATATTTCTTTTTAAATTGAAAGTGTAGGAATGGGTGCACCAAAAATGAAGAAAAAAACAAGGTAAGAATGAGCAAATGTGATAAAACTTTTTCATGTTACCTTCTCATGCAATTGCAAAAGGAGGAACAAGTTGTAAAGAACAAGTTGGTCCATACGAATATCTGATTCTTCTGGCGTGTTACAAACAGACTTTACAGTACATTTACTGCCTCTAGTAATTCGATTCACAAAATCCTCTAGTCATTGTATGATAAGCATAACTAGGTTTGATAAGTTTAGTCCACCTGGCTTATTGTGTACAGGATAAAAAAAATAAACGGAGTTTGGTATGAACAGGATGTTGGACATGCCCCCTTGTGAGTTGTATAGAGGAAGTTTTATTATACTTCGCCCATTCCTACCTTGTTTCCTCACTTTTTGTTGTACTCATTCCCACACTTTCATTTTTTTAAATATGTTTTTCACTTGTGTTCATTTAAAATTATTACAAGCACGTATTACAAATCCTGTAAGTATATTGTGTATATGTGTGGGGGGATGACTATCCATATAATATAGTATAAATTATAACATGTAAAACCATCTGATTATATTTTCTGTTTTTCAACTTGCCTGCCAATAACATATATCTAGTTCCTAGCACTTTAAACACGAAATCGAAAGTGACTAGAAAAATTCAATTCACTTTACTCATTAAACAAACGTCTTGTAAATTATACGGAAACGTTTCCTTGATTCATATGCAATTAGGCTGAATTACGTATTCAATGAATTTGTTATTTTCTAAATATCAACACCACTCTAAAGATGTGCAAATTAACATTATGAAATAATGTGAAATTAAACATGTCAGTCTGATTATCTTAAAACTGATATAGTATTCACAGATCTGGTCACTAAGGTGGCAGGGTATGTTAATAGTTGTCAAAGTCTCTTGGCAATTTCTGATGACAGTTACTCGTAAACAGTCTGTGATTTTCGTTTCTTATCCCACGAGATTGGTTGTCATGGCAACATTTACTGACTCGTGTCGACATGGCGAGTCCACTAGTACCGGAGGAACGTGCAGCAGACTCAAGAGTCCCACGGTGGTTGAAAGCCACATTCTCACGCTAAAGGTGGTCATAAGGACGAGCGCGCGTCACTGTTCGAGTTCTTTCCTGTAATCACTCTTCAATGTGGTACAAACACACAGAATTATTATTAAGACTAATCTGAGGTGCTTGCTCGGACGCTGTCACATTCAAGTATAATATATCTATAAATTATGTTTATAAACTTGTGCATCTGTTAAGGGCAAAGCAACGTTATGCATTGGATTGAAAACTCCCAGTGGCTTATTTGGATGTGCTTGATAACCGAGTTTGCAACAGGTACGTCGTACATTCCTGTTTCTTCATGTTTTTACGAGTATTTATTCCAAAATCATCAATGAAAAATGAAAGATATAAAATAATTTGATTTTAGCTGTGGCAATGCACGTAGCTTAGTCGTTTTCCAAGAATATTGTATGCAATTACATGATGCGGAAAAATTCGAGAATAAAATGCACCTATATATTCATAGTTTATGAAGCCTGGATGTATTAATAGATTAGCGAAAACCTTAGGTGCTATTATAGGAGTATGAAATTATTCTGATGTAATTAAAGGGAAAAACAACTAATTAAAATAGTTTTTCGTGGTGATAGACGTTGCAACTCGTCTAGATATTTTAGAGCTTAACTAAAGAAATTTAATCCTTATTTTCAGATCATAGATGTATTCTTTCTAATACCTATTTTACTGTTGTTCTTGTATTTAGAATTTACGCGCAAAGTTACTCAAAGGGCTCTGTGCGCATAGCATTTGTGACTTACTTAAACAACAGCCGACAATTCAACTATTGTAGACTTATATAAGCTTGCATTTTCCATTACAATATCTACTGCAGAAAGAAAACCAAGCATTTTATCCTGCCGGACACCTTGCGAGTTTGTGAGAACTAACTACACGCTCGGATAAGTTGGTTAACAAACCATGAAAGGAGTTTGTGGGCAACTGACAAAAGGATAACCACATGTGTTTAACAGTCGAATAATTATTTAAGAAGGCTGCTGATGCGTTAGACTTGACTGAATTTCCAAAGACTAAACTTAAAGCAGGAAATTATAGTCATTATAACTACACAAGAAACACAAGAGAAGTATAGATCCATTTCATATACAAATTCAAGGTTAAAGTTTAGCAATGCAAAGAGACCATTCAGCACGATAAAGTAAGACTTCTAAAAATATAAAGAAAATGAAACAATGGAATAGAACTCCCACGACATTCCACAAACAGTCTCTTACATAATAAATAAACTTAGTATTCCGAGAATTGTTTAATCTCAAAGTCTAAGTTCAAAGGAGGTCCAGTTCAATCTACACTTTGATCAACGGGAGTTATTGGGTTATACTAGTTTCGGAGAATTCCACTCCTCATCATGACTTAGACTTCGCGATTAAACAATTATCGGAATACTAAGTTTATTTATTACATCTGCTATTGTGCGGCTATATAATGTGAAGAACTGAATAGTGGTCAGTGGCACTTTTTATTTACTTCACCTATCCAGTGTATAGGTTTTTCTCATAGTGACTACAAAGCACGTACGCACCAACAAAATGGTTGAGTCTCTCGCATATTATCCTCTATATGTATGTGTAGATGTGTAGAGTCGAGGTAGTGCATATACGAATGAGACATTCTTGCTTGGAGTCGATATAATTGTTGGTGACTTACATCTTAGAATCTTGAAACTTTTCGTTACGTACAGAATCATAAAGAATTCTACTTTTAAGTTTTTGTGTTCTTTTTACATGATGGAGAGAGAACAACCTGTATTTAAATATGTAGGTGCATCTTTCGGTTACTTATTCATTGTTCCTGTATTTAATGTTATTCGCTTTTCATAAGTAACAGTCGTGGACTAAACTTGTGAACCGAGAATAACCGAAGAAATAAATTTACTAGAAGAAAGAGCTCGAATCACAGCTAAATAATGCAGAAATGTTTAGAATATTAATTT